GTTAGTGAATAAAATTCCTTACACAAAACATCACTGTTACACTACATGTGTCACACAGTAAAGTTATAAAAAAACGACCAGCATCATATAGTTGCAACTAAAAACACATTTGAAATATTATAAGCTTGAATATGCTGCTCCTGAGTAAGAAATTTGTTCTCTCTTGATAGAAGAAAACATATTTGAAATATCAATAAAGACAATCATTAATATTCTGTGTGCAAAAAGCCACAGTTTGCCCGAAAAGGTGCTATTGCATGCATGGTAACATAAGCCTTTCCTGCTTGTTCTGATGACCACAAGGCCGGAGGCTACCTCAAAACCAATTCCCTAGGGAATGCATTCATGCAATTTTTGAAATTCTTTCAAAGCGATCGCAGTACTTACACAAATGCCTCCGCCCCTGAGGCGTCGCCAAAAAAGCATCAAAAGCGAAATCCCTCACAACCTTCCATCATCCACTGGAGTGCAGTGGTTACTGCGCGATTTCATCATCCAGCATTTGTATACACAGACAGGGCTATTTGAGCTCCCTTGTTCACGTGCTTGGCACATGATCACCCAATACCAGTAGTGGCCACAATGAGGACGCCCTAGCCCCCTTGCCTTCTGAAAAATGGACTGTTCCAGAAAACACCTACACCACAGGATGCCTTTTACTTGATTTAGCCGCACACAAACACAAACATCAAGAAAGACTTTGGACACATATTGCTCAACTCATGAAATTATAACGAAGTAGAAAATCTTATAGTGATTGCTATTGTTTCACTGATCTGGTCACTTTGAAATATAGGGGCAATATCGTGGATAATCATCATAATGATATTTAGAAGGACCTATTGCCAATGCTGTTTTCAAGGGAAGCACAATATTTACTAACAACAGTTAAACCTACCAAAAGAATCTTCATTCAAGCCCCCCAATACCAAAGAAATCTAACAAGATTTTCACAAAAATGTACAAATGGTTGTTTGAATACAATAAACCAAGCTTCAACTGTCTTACGCAATATACCCTGCCCCTCCCTGTCTAGCCCTGCAGTTGGCACAACCCAGCCAGTGATCATGTGAAGGCTGCATGATCAGTGCATGGCATGTGCATGAACAGCGCCACTCCCACAACCAGCCCACATGACACATGCATTGTCAACACAGGCACATGTCTGCACTTTGCCCTTATGCAACTCCACATATCTGCCTAACTTTTAATACTCTGTAGTTTGTACCAAGATGATAAAAGGTTCTGTTGCATATAAATCTCATTTAAAAAGAAATATCACTTGTTTCAACCCCCTAGAACTGCCCCCTTGCTTGAAACATGGGATTTGGCTCCAAAGACAGTCAAGATGATGCAATGCCACATCCATTTATATTCTCAGACAAATAGAAATGGCTCAACAGAAATTTCAAAGATGCCAACCCCTAACAGAGGAAACACCCCACTGCTAACTCCCATTGGACCCCTCCTACAATTTCACAGGTCAGACTGGACTGAGGTATCACTGTCAGTGGAAAATCCCATCACTCAAATGATGGGAAAGGGGACCATCAGTCATTCGACTGGGATTCCCCCATCTTGATGGACTTATATACTATGGCCACAAAAGGCATTCAAGGATGGTGGCAATAATACATTGCCTTTCTGTTTCTCAATTTGTTCCTTACATAAGATAAGATCTGTTCAATCGCACTATGGTGAGATTCATATTCATAATATAATACAAAATTTCTCCCTTACTAGGCAACACCTTATGATGCTACAGTTCCTCCTACAATACAGGGATTTTTTTCTACTATGCATTGCCCAAAGCTAGCTGCCCATGTCATCTAATCGAGTCTTAAAATACGAACAAGACAAGGTTTCTTGGGCTGCAAATGCCATCAACCTTACGGTGACAACGCCCCCGAAGAATATGCAAATAAGCAAGGCAAAACTGCAAACATGAGCAAGACACACCGAAAATTACCTGGCTCAAAACTCTGTTTCCTTTCAAAAGAAAAGTTGTATTCAATGCAATGGTTGCAAGGCATCTAATGTCAAGCCTGTGCTCTACTATAGATGAACGCTTTGAAAATATAGTATACCAGTAGTGCTCTTTACCTAACATAGTATCCTGTCGCGTCAGACATTTTAGGTCGTCTAAAGGCCTAAAGGTACACCCTGTGTCAGACGCGTTTAACAGTTATTGAGAACATAAAAAATGGGAAAAAGAGAAAAATTAATAAACCTTTTGGTCTCAATGACAATATAGGGGGAACTTGCGAAATAAAACCATGAAACAGCGAGAAGACACTAACATAAAGTTTCTAACATACTGTGCAGTACGCGTCTACTTGTACACTGGACTCAAAGGCAAAGGCACTTCAAACGCAAAGATACGGTAAAACAATGAACTAGCGATAGATATTATGATATTGCATTCAAAGCTTTTTATTCTGCTGCATTCCTATCAGATTAATAAACTAACGACGGTATGTTTTCGTCTACTTCGAGAAGGTTCGAGGCATTTAAACCCACACAGACGGTACATGTCGCAAGAGACGCGCAGTTTTTTCCCCGACACAGGAAAGGGGAACAGGAGAAAGAAACAGAACACACGTCTAGAATGGAAACCAACAGCAACCTCTAGGGTTAATAGAATAAGACGACTTACGTAGAATGATTCGGGAGGTGTCCTTGGTGGTGATAAAGGGAGCGTAGCCATTCCAACTGCGCTGAGTGTTCAGTACTCGAAAACTCGCTCCTCGTTTTCCCCTTGGTTTTATACAAGAATACCTCGTCAGGACCAAAACAAAAATATGAATTCAGTAGATGGGCGGGAGCGAGGCTTGACCAATCACATGTGCGGAAATTGCATAAGCTTTAGAATTCTGACCAATGAGGATCGTTTGTTCATGTGATCGCCGCATGTCCTGTGCATGCATCCCGCCTGGCTGGTGTGAGGCAGGAAGCATGCACAGCCGTCTGGTCGGGATGATCTCAGCTTGTGACCACGCGCCCATGTGCAATCCTGCACGAACACAATAAGAGACGGTGGACCGTACGAAAGTGTAGATTTTGCATTCAATTTTCCAACATTGATCAGTATAGTTGGCGCGGGTGTGAATCTGTGTTTTAGTATCGTATTGATATTATTATTTCGGTAAAAACAACATGTTTAGACCCACGCTAAAGGGTTTTCTTATTTTCCAGTACTCGTTCCCGCCGAAACGACAGTCTCTCCATATATGGAGGCGTGTCGCTGGGCGTCGTCTTCAGTTAGCCAATCACCATTCTAGATTGTGTAACGCACCCCCTCGTAGGACACCGCTGTATCCGTCGACCGAAATGTAGTGCCGATATTGAGTCCACAAAAAGGATATAAATAATCGAGTAGTCAAACTTAATTTGACAATAATAAGACTAAAAATTTATGCTTTATTTGTTCGTTATGATAGTATCTTCCTAAAATGCAATTTTCATTCCACCAACCGCGGATTAATTCGCAACGATGTGATCCGCCATATATAATACGCCCCGTTGACGTCACATTCTCTTCCTGTCGTCCATGACTGCGGATAGCGAAGTTGGCGATACGAACAACATAAGCGGACCATCTTTTGCGGTTTTTTGGACCGTCATCCTGTACACCATTACCCCGCTACAAGACATCAGAAAGGCGGGGTGGGAGACTAGGGCACAGGTAGGATTTGTAGTCGAAAATAGTGTAAAATCTGTCGACTTTGGTAGACACGATGTTCGAAAACGTTCCAAGATGGCGGACGTGAGAATGCTGTTACATCACGTGGTGAAATAGTTCTCCATCTATGAATAAGTAAAACACCTCCATATATATCCATGATCATCGGTGAAGCTAATTTGTCCCGGAATTTTTGGACAGCCATAGAAATTCTCACCCAAAGTTGGAAATTAGTGACCCGTTGAGTTGTCACGTGTACATGTTGACGGTACCATGTTGTTTTATATCCCGTGATTGTGTATAGACCAATGTTCAACTTTCTGTTCGCACGGTCGTTGGCACAGTTCCACACGTCCATAGTACATAGGGTGCACGTTTTGATGGGTACTGCTCTTTCCTTGCTTCAACTTTCTCCCCTATTGTGCAAGTCGAAGATTGGAACATTAATTCCAGACCATCCAAAATCCAAGATGAAACGTATAATAAATCTGGACCCCATAATACGGCCATCATATCCTGAGAATAAAACAATTAGTCAAACCCGGATGTTAGTCATAGCTACAAACAAAAAAACAAGACCTTCCCACAGTTGTCATTCCCTGGAGGTAGAAGGAAAACCATCCAATCCAGATCAAACTAGTCATAACTGGTAATGATGAATTTCGCTGCAGACAGTGCACTCAAGTTGGATCAGGTTCTAACCAGAATTGACAGGGCTTGTACACAACTAAACCTCACAACACAACAAATGACAAAGGTTTTGTCGGGTTCAAAAGTACAGATAGAAAAGGAATAGGACCATGCAAAATGTAGATGGACAAAAGGCAGCCCCAGCCATATTGCAATGCACCATGTGGCCGTTACAATAAGTTCAGTACAAATGTATAAAACTAATCTCATTTGTATTGTTTGCTAACATGTATCATACAATTGTCTCTCAGGGTGGACACACAGCAGCACCGTTCCTGAAGAACCCAGAGGGTCAGTGTCTCTACCGAGAGCAGCTTGACCACAATTTCGAACCGCCTTGGGATCCTAGCTGACATTTGCTGGTGTCCCAGATTTTCTTCTTTGCTGTGTAAGTATGAGAGTTTTCTGGCCCTTTGACTGTTGAAACTTTAATTGTTGGGATGTTAGATATGTTAATGGACACACCTGAACCTGAAAACTTTTCAGCATCACAACACATTGCCTGTTATCACACTAAATTGCCAAGAGATATAAATTATTAAATGTATGTAGAATCGGATTCAATCCAGTCTATCCTAGCAGGTACCACAGGCTGTAACTGGTTATTTACCCACAAAAAGCATGTAGGGTGTCAGAACAGCTGCACAAATAGCTACTGTTTTTGACCCAGATAGGCGATCAGAGATGGCTTTATAATGATATGTTACTGGAACTTAGGCCTGTCCTCTGTAATGCCCAAGACAAATACTGACGATGGAAAACTCTCTTTACTTGCAGGTTGTTGCGAATATCATAATCACCCCGTGTCCTAGCTCCTATCCTAGTCTGTATTAACCAACCTTATCAAGAATGAAGACTCACATCATGAATAAGGACCTGTCCATGGAAGTTCTCCGTGACGGCCTCACGCCACAAGATGTCCTCGCCAACAAGGTAATCATCGCCTGGATCTAATACTATTTAGTGTTGGCTTATTTAAAGCAGGTATCAGAATTTTGTAGGAATGGTGTATTGCAATTGTTCCTCTGTCTGATAGGTCTATTCCATAATTGCAGGTGAACTCTGGCGGGCGAGATGACAAAGACGACGCTTTCTTCGTGTGTGACCTTGGTGACATCGTGAACAAGTACAAGAAGTGGGTGTCCTGCCTCCCCCGTGTGGTGCCCTTCTACGCTGTGAAGTGTAACGACAGCCCCCATGTCCTGCAGGTACTGGCCAACCTGGGGACCGGCTTCGACTGTGCTAGCAAGGTTTGTCACACACAGCATTACTTACTTACTTGGGCCCTGCGCTCCAGCCGGAGCATAGGCCACCGACGATAGTTCTCCACTTCACCCGCCTCTAGGCTGTCTTTCTCAGGTCCTCCCAGCTGCTCGCTACTCACCTCATCTCCTCCTCAGTATCTCTTCAACTGTTTCTAGGCCAGCCCCTCATTCTTCTTCCCTGTGACTTGTCTGGTACTTAATTATGACTATGTGTGGAGTGCTTGGCTGTGATGTAAACACTTGCCCTCGCTGATGATTTGATGAGACATCTTCAGTGTACCAAATATCTGAGCCTTTTTGTAACAAAGGCTGTTTGATGCCTTTAGACAACATTTTGATAAAATCCTTACTGTTTGAATGTTCAGAGTAAACACACAAGTTCCGTAATTGCTAACTATATCATACTTATCTACCCCTACTTGTATCCCCAGACTGAAGTGCAAGCAGTGTTGAACCTGGGCGTTAGCCCTGACCGCATCGTGTATGCCAACCCCTGCAAGCAGACTTCTCACATCCGCTATGCCAAGAAGAATGGGGTGGATCTCATGACCTTTGACAATGAGGATGAGCTGCACAAGATCAAGAACTACTTTCCAGATGCTAGGTGAGTTTCTGTTTAAATGCAGATATCTATTTTTAACTCTCCATAGCCTTGTACTCAATGGTACACACAAGTGTTATTCAGAAGATACTGTATGTGATCTGTAACATGTTTGGTTTGTTGCAGCCTCCTGCTGCGCATCCTGCCTCCTGCAGCTGAAGCTCAGTGCCAGCTCGGGATGAAGTTTGGCTGCCACCCCAGTCAGGCACCCAAACTGCTGGAAGTGGCAGCCCAGCTGGACCTCAACGTGGTGGGCGTCAGGTGAGTTGTCATTGGGTAGTCGAATAATACTAACTAGGCTTTCATATGCTCAGAAGTAATGTTTACTGTGACTTGAAACCAAACTCAGGCACTTCATTGTATTAGCTGTTGTATCATTAGCATGGAATGCCCAGTTGTAAGTGGCACTGCATGCTTGGCTGTGATGTAAACACTTGCCCTCGCTGATGACTTGATGAGACATCTTCAGTGTACCAAATATCTGAGCCTTTGACAAAAAACATTTTGATGTCGAGCAAGGACATGACCAGTGCCTCCCATTAACCTGAGGCTGCTGCATTTTATTTCTATAGCTTCCATGTTGGCAGCGGCTGTCTGGAGGCCTCGGCATTTGCTCGCGGTGTGGAGTCTGCCAAGCGCATCTTCAACATTGCTGACCAGTACGGCTTCGAGTTCAACACGCTGGACATTGGAGGCGGTTTCCCCGGCCAGGAGAGTGCAGCAATCTCATTCGATGAGGTGAAGATTTACATTCTAAGACATTTCCATCATAATAGCAATGGCAATGATATTGATGATAACGTTGACGATAAGATGTAAACAACACACTTTGATGATTGAAACATGCAAGTGTGCTTGAAAGGCTGTGATGTAAACACTTGCCCTCGCTGATGACTTGATGAAACATCTTCAGTGTACCAAATATCTGAGCCTGCAATCACTGCTGTAATGACTGTACATAAAGGTGGAGGATTTCTTCTCTCTCAAGTGCAACATTGTCATAACAAGATTCTCCCCGCCTCGCAGATCGTAGCAGACCTGGGGCCGGCCCTGGACGAGCACTTCCCGCCGGGGAGCGGAGTGCGCATCATCGCCGAGCCTGGGCGCTACTTCGTGGCCTCTGCCTTCACGGTGGCCGTCAACATCGTGGCCAAGCGCATGGTGGCTCGGGACATCCAGGAGTTCAAAGATGAGGAGGCTGAAGGTAAGGCACAAAACACACTTTGATGACCAAAACTTGCAAGTGTACTCACACCCTGGCATGATGCCCCATGGGGGGCTTTGCCCAGTGACATACACATGTAGATGTACTTGCTTAGCTGTGATGACAACATTGCCCTTGTTAATGAAAATCTTCAGTGTACCAAATATCCGAGTTTGCAAAGTTGCTTGTGAAATTTAAAATAATAGTAACCAATTCTGGGTAGTATTCTAAGCTTTGCCGGGTGTTTCTGACATGGTGTGTCCTGTTCTCTAGATGCTGTGATGAACTCGGTGGCACCCTCCATGTGCGAGGAACCAGCCTTCATGTACTATGTCAACGATGGTGTCTACGGCTCCTTCAACTGCCTGCTGTATGACCATGCCGCAGTCACTCCATCACTCATGAGGGTAAGTCATGCACCTATGGCACTGCCATTGTTAGCCTAACTAAATTAGGCTTGTAGCAGCTGACCCACTGGTCAGTTGGAGTTTGTGTTACACAGACAATGCCATAGTGTGCTTGGTTATGAAAATGTTTTAAAGCTACACGTTTCAAAAGTGATAAGTAGATTTTAGTCTAGATGGTGATAGATTTTAGTGATAACGTTGTGACCGAAGAAAGTTAGAATAGAACAAGCTGGAACTGAGTTGGTGTTGTTTGCTGCAGAGTGTGGATAAGGACGATGCCCTGAGTTTGTGTTACACAGACTATGCCAAAGCGTACTTTTTTATGGAAATGTTCTAAAGCTACACGTTTCAAAACGGATTTTAATCTAGAAATTGATAGATTTGTAAACATAACATTGTGAAGGAAGTTATAATAGAACAAGCTGGAACTGAGTGGATGTTGTTTGCTGCAGAGTGTGGATAAGGAGGAGGCCCTGTTCTCCACCAGTGTGTGGGGCCCCACCTGTGATGGTCTGGACCGCATCATGGAACACTGCCTCCTGCCAGAGCTGCACGTTGGCGACTGGATCCTGTTTGAAGGTGCTTACACTTGGTCTTTATTGTGGTGGTGTGGATGACACTGAAAATTAGAATAATTGTCTTGAACGTATCTGTATGTTGTGAAACAATGAGCTTTGATGAATAGCTGTGTGAGAGAAAAAGTCTTGACGACAGTAGATGAGTTAAATGAGTAGGACATTGCTACATGTTCTTTTCTCATATAGCAATAGACAATAACTGCAAATAGTTGGCACTGCATGCTTGGTTGTGATGTAAACACTTGCCCTCGCTGATGAGTTGATGAGACATCTTCAGTGTACCAAATATCTGAGCCTTGTATGAATGATAGATGTGATGGCAAAATAAAACGTTAAACTTAAAGGCCAAAAGGACTAGTGGAGGACGGAGTGACAGAAATACAGGGCAGCCGAGTGAAATGTGATCTTGCTTTCCCCAGACATGGGTGCGTACACCATGGCAGCTGCCTCCACCTTCAACGGGTTCAGCAAGCCGTCCTGCTACTATGTGGTGGATGCCAACATGTGGTAAGTAGTCTTTTCCACTGTCTCTCACCTCTTTACATTTTATCAGCTTGGGGTAAAAGAAGAAGAAAAACATTGTGACTTGCAACATGTGGACAATTAACTTGTAGAACACACCTTAATATTTCACACTTTCATATTTGTAGAAAAAGAATGTTTTAAAAGAATTCTCAAGTTCTGGGTTGTTCATCAGCAAGTTGTTTCATCCTCGATTGTCTAGCTTTCCTTTCATGCATTTAAACTTTTTGTCTCCACAGGGCAGCAACAACCATGCGTTTGTCCAGTCCTCTGTGTGTTCTGGCCTTCGCCAAGTCAAGGACAACACCATCACCATGCCGGCCATGAAAAGGGGCATGTGTGCCCAGGAGCGCCTGGGTATCACCCAGATCCCCAGCGTCACTGTTCCAGAGGTGTAGGAAAGAAAACCACCATCCCAAACATGGATAGGCCCTTCCTTATGACGTTTTTCTAATCATGTAGATTCTGTCTTGATATGTTTGAGTCCCTGTAACAAACAGCAGGCAGAGGCATGGCCTAATACTACTACAAGAAACCCACCACAATGCACGGTCTGCACCTCATTTGTGCCATATTACTCCAGCTCTTGCAATAAGTATCGCTGCCGTACAGAACTGGCCAAACTGTTGTTAAAGGGACTGCGAACGTGTGTATTGTCTGTGATGCCAGGTGTGAAAGCATGATGTTGTCCAAGCGAGAACATACATTCCACCCTTTTCATCATCCCTAATTTGTATTATGGACCAACGGAGTGTTAGAGGTCTAATCTCTACCAGAAGTTGTGGAAGGAAGGAATGTTGTGGTAATCTGTGACCAAACACAAACATGTGACAATACCAACTTGTTTTTTCAAGGCAATTTGCTTGTAAGTATATCCTATGGTGTATACTGCGTTTCCCCATGGCATCACAGTTCCTATATGATTTTCCTAGAAATCTATTGTGTGCTGTTCGTGTTTGAAAGAAGTTTGAAAGAAGAATCCTTACCTATGTGCTAGGACCGGAAAGAAGAAATCTGGGATTGAGCTTGTTGGTTAGATCAAACCTCCTTGGTTAGATTGATGCCACAGGTGCTTTTGTTTTTTTTTTTAAATTAATTAAGCCATGTCATTCTCTCTCATTGTGTTCCTTTTACATGCCAAAATGTGAATTCTGTAGTAGACATTTCCATGATGTGCGCCGACTGGTCCAGTCTCTGCATTGATGTACACCAACGTTTACTACAAAAGTCAATTGGCAACTACTGAAGCCTGTAGGTCAAGTGTGTATGTAATAGACATATATCCAGGGCATTTTAGCAGTTGGCTTTTGATAGGGTATACTGTGAAGGTAAGAATGGTGGGTGATAAATGAAAAAGATATTTGAAAATATTGAATAATGGAGACCATCTCTCCAGAGAAATGGGCTTTCAAAGGCCAAATACTATAAATTGTTATGTGTACTAGTAAAGACTATTGTGGAAAAAAAATGCTTAAAAAGTGTTTTAAGCATGTTTGAAGGAAGGTATGATATCAGATAGCAACTGATAAAATGCTTCTCAAATAAACATGACATCAAATGACTCAGTTGTATCTCATCTTTACATGTAGAACTGACATAAAAATTTGTTATGTTAAGGTTTAATGTGTCTTTTATTGCTTTTAGAGAAATTGTAAGTCATACTGCATTTCAAGCAGTGAAGGCTTGATCTGGACAATCTTATCCTAGTGAGAACAAGGCCATTTTATTCATCACGATTTGGCTTCAAGATCTGCTTTGCACATTATAACTAAGGATGTTGACATATCAGAAGTAATTCAGACCAGTTACTGATGTATTTATTAACAGTCCCTATTTTAAGAGTTTTGCCAAACTTAAGCCACTCATACTACTGCAGATTAGTGTATGCATCATTACCCCAACAAGGCACTATTAATTCCTCCAGGATTATAATACAAATGTAATTCCATCATCCTAATACACACCTGCACACACACACATCCATTCAATGGATAAAATGACTCAGACTGTATCTTCAATGATTCTTTTATTGAAAAACATCCCTGAAACATGGCCTTCCTGACACTTTGCAAGGTGTATTCTTCAGTCAGCATTGACCCACATCATGTCCAGGTTGATACAGAGCTGCATCCTGGCGTTCACATGACTGTCCCATGGACGACAGCCTACTGACTGCTGCCGAGTTTTGACAGTGCAACAGAACCCTTTCTGTAAACCACAGCTCACGGGGACAGTCATTGTCTCCTGCAGAATGGGACAAATGGCTAAATCTGTAAGGTGAAAATAAATAAAAATACAAAGGCACATAAAACACTCAAGATATGCTTCCAGTTAGGAAGAAAAAAAAGTTACTCAAGCAACTGGATATGATTTTGTAACTGTCAGACGTTTCAGTTAGCATCCACTACCTTTTGTCAAAGACGCAGGACAAAGGCAGGTTTATAAGTACGAACTATTGATTGATATGCCAAAAAACAGTTACTCAAGCAACTGGATATGATTTTGAAAACGTCAAAAATGTCAAAGACGTTTTCAAAATCATATCCAGTTGCTTGAGTAACTGTTTTTTGGCATATCGTATTACCTGGATGTCTAACCTTCATCGACGTATTGATTGATACGCAAATAAAGAAGAGAAATTTCTTGGAAGCCCAACAGGAAAACCACAATAAAGAGCAAGTCTAAGAACCTTTTAACCAGATCCAGTCACCAACAGTTACTCCTCACCGTGTACTACTTCCTAAAAGTCAGAAATAGACAGAATTGTGATAAGAACAGCATACCAACTTTGTCCCCTGGCCAGCACGAGCACTACAGGATCTGTCCTGGTGCAGTAGCCGTGGAACAGCCTCTTCCACCTGGAAAGACAGAACAAGTAGGCATGACTTTCAACTTCATTCATTGGAAGACAAATGAAATACAATTTACAAACACCACGTTTCAATATAAAACTCCTTTCTCATTATGTTATGTTTACAAGGTTCATTTAGTTTTGCTTACAATCTTAGCATGGTCTCAAATTACATATTACAAACACAGCTGTCAGGTACTAGTAACCTTAAAGAAGTTTTTATTTACAGTATGGAACAAGCTGTTCACTAAGTTAAACTGTTCAGTTACATCATATAAGGAATCAAGCAATAGCCATGGATAACACTTTCATCATCCCATTTGAAGCCATAACCTGGTCCGACACAAAGAAATACTGTATAGTCACAACACAAAGCTGAAGCTGTTGCATTCATGGTCAACATGACTTCTCATTTGGTTATGTTTGACTGTTGAAACACTTAAAAGTTGACAGGATAGCACTGGATGTCATGTGCATCAACTTTCACATTTGTTTGTCCCTGGTTTGTAAATATTTCATTGTCTGTTAATGGCGTTATTTGAAAGGTTTGTGGTCAGCTGTTATTATTAACAATCCCTTTTCTATGCTAGCCAATTTATCTTAAGCCATCCAAAACTTTAAGCTTTTAAGGAATGCTTTTAAGTTAAAGCATTTCCATCCCTCTGTCAGCACAAGGCTTGTTCAACTGCTTAACTGGGGATCAGCAAATGTGGAAGTATACCACAAAATAAATCTTTCTCTTTGTTCAACATGACATCCAGAAGCAAAAATGTTTAAGTCTTGTCATTCCTATCACTTTTGCACTATGGAGGTTTCTTCCTCATGTATAAATCACTTGGCATAAGGATTGTGTGGGTTTTGAAACTTCAAACAGCAAAACTGTTATAAACATAGTAAAGGGTCCTCATGTACAATGGATGGACACTTAGCAATTAGTCTTACCTACCAGCAGCAAAGAGAATGTTTTCAACTCTGGTCTTGTCTGCAATGCTGTATTTAACCTTTTCCTGCCAGCTGGTTAAAGTGCCATAGTGGCAGCAGTTTTATCTACAGCTTGAGAACTGGGAGAGACATTCATTGTTTAGCTGTCAGAACATGGGACAGAACAGAACATGTTGAAAGCTTCATGGTCTGATTGGATTCTTATAAGGCTGTTGAATCAGAGCATGCATATCTAACATCTTCTTTGTCGTGATGAGGTGGACAACTATTGATAAAGATCCTGTGCACAGAAAATACTACCATCAATAGCCATTAGGTATCTATATATTGTTCTACTTAGTGCAGGGCTTGAAAGTGCTGCAGCTAATTTGGTAGCATCATTTATATTGTGCTGTTGCATCCCTAAAACTAGCAAAGATTGAGAAGTTCATTTTGGGTACAGTTTAGAATTTTAGTGAATGCTAACTCTACATACAGGTAACCTATGGCAACTACTTCTCATCACCTTTGAATAACTTCCTTTTAGATTAGACTGTGCACAGGATCTTCACCATCACTATAACTTGTTTGGGTCAACACAAAACTGTTCATTATGGAATACTGTTACTGTTACAATATCAATTGACATTTTAAATGTGATACACATATAAAAAATTTGAATTGGTTACAGTTGTATTCAAAACACAGGTAGTGTTGAAATTCATAACTTTCAATGACATAGTTGGTGTGAACAATAATCGAACTGGTTAGAATATGAAGTTAACTAGTGAAGGTAAAGAGAATACTTACATGGGACCAAGAGATTGGGTTATTCCTTGAAAATTAAGGCACTTTTTTCAAGTTATGCTGGGCGGGTCTTCTTGAAATGTTCTGCCTGGTTTCTGACTTATTTCT